GAGAAACCCCCTCGTGTGTACCCAGGTTCCGCAGCGTGAGAAACCCGTGGGGGCGTGTACCGAGCTTCCTCAGTGGGAGAACCCACTTATGAGCTGCCCCCTACCCCCGATTTTAGTCCAGCTGCCTGTGGGGCTGGAGTTTCGGGGAGCCTTGGTGTCGCTGACCCACCGCCCCAGCTGGTGGTTTTTGCAGGGTTGTCTTGCGGGATGTTACTTCTGTAAACTCACAGCGACCTGAGGCATCATTTCTTCATTGAAACCGATTCTTTGTTGTTGTTGTTGTTGAGGTGGGGTCATGGTTCACTGTAGCCTCCACCCTCTGGGCTTAAGAGGTCTTTCACCTCAGCCTCCCAAATAGCTGGGGGCCACAGGTGTGCACCACCAAGCCCAGGGGCCTCACTGTGTTGTCCAGCTGGTGCTGGCCTTGCCTGGGCTCAAGCGATCCTCCCAAAATGCTGGGATTACAGGCCCGAGCCACCACACCTGCCGTGAGACCAGTTCTAAGGGAAGGCAAGCGTCTGAGAGTGTCTAGCACAGTTTACTTTCTCACCACATTTTTCATTGCCTTGTAGACGTTTTCACCCCATTACTAAGCTTGTTGGCTCCAATAAGGTTTTCAAAATAGAAAATGCATCTATTTAGTTACTGAGGCATAACTTACATGCAACGGAATGCACAGCTCTTGTGTCCCGTTCAGTTGTTTTGACAGAGGCATCCACACACCTGTCAGGATGCAGAGTCTGCCTGTGATGCGTGGAGGTCGCCCCGCAGCTACCTCAGCCCCCGCCTGCCGCGCCGGACAGGAGCAGGGCTGCGTTTCTCCACCACTCCCAGGTGTCTGGAGTCTCACGTGCGCGGCTTTGTGTCGGCCCCGGCTCCGGAGGACTGTTTTTGAGCTTCTCTGAGGCACCGTGCGAGCGTCTGGTGTGGAGTGCCAGGAGTCACGTGTGCGTGTGGCCTTGTGTCTGGCACAGTTTGGGGGGGACTGTTTTTGAGCGTCTCACGCACGCAGCTGGTGTGGGGTACGCTGCCGTGCGTTCCTCATCTGTGGAAACGTGGGTGGGTGTCCAGTGTCTGAAGACGTCACGTGTCTCTCTGTGCCGGTGTTGGGTGGTCACGTGTGCTTGTTTCTCCTGGGAACATGTGTGGCTGTGGGTGGCATCCCAGGTGTGAAGGTCTAGCTGTCGGGGCCGCTTGCTGTTTCATCGTGGCGTTCATGGCATTTCCACGGCGCTGACCCGTGTCGGGCACTTTCCACCCGCCTCTTACTATTCGCACATGTTTTCTGAGCTCTGGGCACGTCCTTTGCCCATGTTTCTGGTGACCGAATTGTGGACGTCCTTTAGGTATTCCGTGCACGGCTTTTGGCAGGCTCACACACTGCGGACCCTCCTGTCCTTTGCCTGTTCTTTGTCTCAATGGCGTCATAAACCAAGAACAAAAGCCAAGTCCCTGGCTGACTGAACAAGCCGCCCCTTGGCCAAGGGGACCCCAGAGGAATCTTAAAACTTGAGTTTCTGGCCATAAAAGGATGGGAGGTGGGACCCCTGGTTATACGCCCTTGCTTTTTCGGCTTAGACACAGCCGAGCGCGTTCGTGTTAAAGTGTGACTCACGAGACGGACACACTCTATGGTAACAAGACGCCGAGACAGAATTGGGACCCAAGGCCGTGCAGGCAAGGGTGAGTCACACCCACACCTAAGGGATGCACGCGCCCCGGCGGCCGTCCTGGCCTGAGACAAGCCTGTGGAAACTGGCGGCTCGCTGTCTGCCAGGCACTGACCCCCACCCGTGTCTCCGTGCCCTAAAACCACAGCCTCACTTTCCATAGCTTCTGATGAGAGACCACTGACCGGACTGGCGCTGCTGGTGTACAGAGAACGCTCACGGCGGGAGTCCCCCCACCTCTCTCCATGTGGGCCGGGTGGTCACACGTGTAAATGTGAAGTCTCACCCCAGTGGACATGGGTCCTGTTTTACCTCATGTTTATTTAGTGCACATTGCATTAAGACACTAGGGGAGGATCACTTGAACCCAGGAGTTCGAGACCAGCCTGGGAAATATAGCAAAACACCAATTTTTACCAAAAAACAAAAATAAAATTCGCCA